TATTCAGAGAGCTTCAGATGTAATACATAATAATTTTGAGACAAAATACCATATAGTCAGGATATACCAAGAATATACCAAGATTATCAAATCTCTAAATACCTGAATAGTAATAAAAAAAACTTCATAGGTAAATGATATGAATTCCCCAATCAAACCATTGGCTTTGATGATGCTAGATTCAAAAAGATAAAGTCGCAACCAAGTTAGCAATAAAGAAATAATAATAGTATAGGTCACTGTGAAACACTACTTAAGTTATTTAACCAAAGATCTTAAAGTAAAAACTTAGCTTTCTTTTCTAAAAGCCATGTGGCTCACTATTCAGACTCAGGAATCTTATTCTAATGAGAGGCCAAACCTTCATCTTCCAGACAGATTACACAAAGAATAAATTAACCCTTTAACTCAGAAATCAAAGAAAATTTTGTTATTTTTATAACAGCGAGAAACCCAATTCTCTGTTTTATATGCTACTTAACATTAAAACTCCTAAAAATCTCATAAATTAAACCATTAAACTTTAGTTAGATAAAACTTGACCATATCAAATAAATTTTTCAATAAACCTCTTAAACATTGTCCTTGTTGCATACCTTTTATAGTGCATCCTTTTAAATGGCAAAAATGAACACTCATTAGCAGGCTTAAATATACATATATCTGTCTATCCTTTCTCTTGTGGCATAAAAAGCCAAATTATATAAGCTTAAATTATAGCAAATATCTATTAACTCAATTTAACATCAGTAAGTTACCTAAAATGTATTGGGAATTATTTTAAGCCTGTATACCGTAAAACATAACTGTTGTTGAAAGAAAGTCTGTTTAAACATTCCAAGTTTTTATTCAACTTTTACTATTCCTCATAGTTTTCCCAACCTAATTTTTAGCCCTTAATGATTTTATTAACTGGCTTTGGAAATCACAAAGTCTGTGTTCAATTGACCAATTCATTGATATGGATATAACTTTAAGCCTCTGACTACTGCTGGAAACATTTTTTCCAGGCCATTTTAGGTGTGTCTTATTGTGATTTCTATTGTTTGACTTCTTAGAGTTCCCCTATAATAGAGAGAACTTGTTTACAGTTCTATTATCAAGATCCACTCAATTTCTGACAACTATAGCAAAGCAGCAATTTTCTTATGTTTTGTCTTAAAAGAGTCTCCACCTAGCTGGAAAGGGCCTTTCAAAAGCTTCCCTTGAGCTAAGACATTTACATATGTTTAAGTTGATGGAGGCATTTTGAAAGGCTATCTACCCAGTAAATACCAAAGGTCTTTCAGGAAAAAAGGAGACAGAAAGACCACATAAACTCATCAGACAATACCACACAAAAAAGGATATGTGGATCTTAGTTTCTTAAAGTGTACATAGCAATTTTTTGGTAAGATCGACTTAATTCAATGGAAAAAAATAGGTTCTAGATAAAACTTACTAACTTGCCGGAGCCTCAGATGGAGGAATATTAGACCTCTTGACAAAACCTGAGCATCAAAGTTTCCTAAGGGAAAAAGCAGACAAAACAAATGAAAGCTCATTTTCCCAAAGTGGCCACTGAAATTCTAAGTTACTTCTAGTATGCTCAGTCTATAGTGTTTTTACATATGAACCCCAAACCAGTGAATCAGCAGTAGGGGGGGTAATCCAGGCTCATTTATCAAAGATGTTAAGCAATAAATAAGGTTCAAGCTTTTGGTTTCCTTCTTTCTGAAGCTTTCTCTTAACAGCCAAATCAGGGTGCCCAAGTAGATGGTATACTACTAGTTACACATAGATAATGGACAGGACAGACACAGAACCACAGTAAACAAATGGACAGGACAGACACAAAACCACAGTAAACGAATAAATCTTGCAAGCTGATGGAGGTGATCTCAACCCCTTCAAACCTCTCAGATGGCTGTCTGCCGACAGAGGTGATCTTAGAGAATCTCAACCTCCCAGACACACTCACGAGAAATCCTGCAAACTGACGGAGGTGATCTTGACCCCTTCAGCCTCTCAGATGGCCCTCTTTGCTGACAGAGGTGATCTTAGAGACGATCAACCTCCCAGACACACGAGCACTCACACACCCAGAACCAGGACTCTAGAGTCACCAGGAGTCCTTACTTGTGAGCCTACTCATGGGGTCGGTCATCTGGGGTACCTCTCACTCCAGAAACCAAGGGCTCAGGTCCTGCTCCAGAAATCTCATGCCTGGAGTCGCATACTCACCTTGGGATCCCTCCTGAGCAAATCTTGCTTTTCTTTCACTCACCTCTTTTGGTGCGGTTGGGGACCAGTGATTCCGTGACAGACACAGTTCTGGGTGATAGTCTCCCCAGAGGCAAATGAAACCTCTCACGCTGCTTGTGGGGAGAGCTGTTGATTAGCCCCAGGCCCTTCCCCAGGGCTACCGTGTCTCAAGTGCCTGAAGATCCCCATACGGGCCACCAAATTTGTTACCGCAGTAACGCGGATTGGAGCCGCCTGCCGCAATAGCCAATTCTGAGATAGGGGTGAGGTGAGCAGCAAGAGTATTATTATATATGGATATATAGGAGTCAGGGAGAATAGATTCCTCCAAAAAACCCGTCTCTCCTACTGGAGATCGGCCGAAGGCTTTTATAGGGACAGGATTATGGGTCTTAGAAGCTTGTGTTAGTTGCCCCTTGAGGTGGTCACATCCCAGATGAGTTAATCTTTTCTTGGGGGTTATCTGGCAACATCCTGGTTTTCTTGTCCCAAGATGGGTGCTTTGTTCAGTCTGTCATTCCTAGATCATTATCACTTGTTTTCCACACTCCAAGGAGGAACACAGGTTAATCTTAAACCTTTTGTAGAGACCAGGACCGGAGGGAGAAACAAGATCATGAGACAGTGTGGCGGTTAGCAATGGGGAGTCAATAATAGTGAGCCGGGCCTATGCAGCCTCTTCCACAGAGGTTAGGAGACTCTTAGAGGTTTTCAAAAGAGAGACCCTAGGAGCCAAATAAAGAGCCCTAGTGGTGCTGTGGTTAAGCAAACCAAAAGGTCAGCCGTTCGAACCCACCAGCCACTCTGAGAGAGAAAGATGTGACAGATTCCATAAAGAGTACAGCCTTGGAAACCCTATGGGACAGTTCTACTCTGTCCTATAGAGTTGGTGTGAGTCAGAATCAACTGGACGGCAATGGGGTTTTGTTTGCTTTTTTAATTTGCTTTAGGAGCCAAACAGAGGATCGTAGAGTCCCAGGGTGGGTAGAAGGACTAGAGTAGGGAGATTGAGGGAAGGGGGATGCACAAATTCTGGACAGGGGTATATAGAGGCTGAGTCTCCCCCTTCTATGTAACCTTCTCCTCTCTCCACTGCACCAGGCCTCAGCCACCCCTCCGGATGCTGGTGCTGTCACTCCCCTGCCCCCAGTCCCAGGCGCTTCCCTCCCTTGAGGCCATGGAGGCCTCGCCCCCTCGGACTGGCCGGTCCCCAGAGCCAGGGCCATCTTCCTCCACGGGATCTCCCCAGACTTCTTCCCCTCCGCGGCCTAACCACTACCTGCTCATTGACACCCAAGGTGTCCCCTACACCGTGCTGGTGGACGAGGAATCGCAGAGAGGGTCCGGGGCCGAAGGGGCTGCCGCCCAGAAAAAGTGCTACAGCTGCCCCGTGTGCTCGCGAGTCTTCGAGTACATGTCTTACCTCCAGCGACACAGCATCACCCACTCAGAGGTGAAGCCCTTTGAGTGTGACACCTGCGGGAAGGCCTTCAAGCGGGCCAGCCACCTCACGCGGCATCACTCCATCCACAGGGCGGGGGGCGGGCGGCCTCACGGCTGCCCCCTCTGTCCCCGCCGCTTCAGGGAGGCGGGCGAGCTGGCCCAGCACAGCCGGGTGCACTCGGGAGAGCGCCCGTTCCAGTGCCCACACTGCCCGCGCCGCTTTATGGAGCAGAACACGCTGCAGAAGCACACACGTTGGAAGCATCCCTGAGGCAGGCGGGCGATGGTGCCTCAGGTCCCAGGGACTCCTGTGGCTCTCAGACACCCGAACACAAATGTAGACCAACCTCCTCTTGGAGGCCACGCCCAGCCGGAAGGAGGGGCCACACGCGATTTTCAAGTCCTTCAACTTTCTGGGGTATGATGGAAGCAAGACCTCATAGGCACAGAGTGGAGTCCTCTGGCCTCAAACACATCAGATACGCAGTGGGGGAGTCTTGACAGGAGGGGGATGTGTGCTACGTGTGCGAATCCTCTGCGGCTGGGGGCGACCAGGAATCCGGACCGTCTTCCTGTGGCCTCCATCCTGATGTTGGGGAAATGGGCCCCAGACCTGTCTCCCACCTGCCAGCCAGGGCCTGAGACTGGACAACCAATAAAAACGGTTCCCACTTTCAGCACTTAAGAGTTGGTCTTTGGCAAGGGCACAGCCAAGCAGCAGGGAGACCTCAGGAAGCCCCTTGCAGGCTTTGGGCCTCAGTGTGCCTGGCTGGGGAATGGGAAGGTTGATCTTATGGCGTGGGTTTTAAGTCTGTGCTCTGTTCCTGACGATCTGTGTCTAATAGGCAGAGGGTTTTCAAACTATTTGTTAACCAAAATCCACAGTAAGAAACATATTTTATGTGGCAACATGGTATACCAAAACCTTCCAGTCACTTCCAACTCATGGTGACCTCATGCGTTGTGGAGCAGAACTGCTCCATAGGGTTTTCAGTGGCTGATTTTTCAGAAGGAGACTGCCAGGCCTTTCTTCCGAGTCACCTCTGAGTAGACTTAAACCTCCAAGCTTTCAGTTAACAGCTGAACACTTAACATTTGCACCACCCAGGGACTTGTAACATGTTATACGAAAAAAAGTCAAACCTGTTGCAGTGGAGTCAATTCTGACTCATAGTGACCTTATATGACAGAGTAGAACCGCCCCATAGGGTTTCCAAGGAGTGGCTGGTGGATTTGAACTGTCGACCTTTTGGTTTGTAGCTGAGCTCTTAATACAGATACACAAAATATATGTGAAACGGAAGTTCCTTTTACAATGGTTATGTTACTATGTGCAGTACACTCATACTTTTTAATGCACTATGCTTTTTGTAAATTGCTGATTCCCACTATATTGAATTTTCTGCCCGTGAACGTGTAGTTTGAAAAACACCGATCTAGGGCAGGAGGCTCCCCCTGGACTTTTTGATCTGGCTGTAATTTATCTGTAGAGCAAGGGGGGCAGGAGGAGGAGTGTGGTCACACCTTTCTACGGGGCACAAACATTTAGATTCTCCCTCCGCAAACATTTGGGTTCTCTCTCCCTCATGTTCTCATAAGGGCTGGCAAAATTCCAGAGCGTGGATACTTATAGGGACCAGGAGAATGAGGAGGTGGAATTGGGTTGGAAGTTTAATAAATAGCTGCCTTCTTCGTTAGTTTTCCTTGCACGTCCATTTTGTGCCAGGCATTGTGCTGGGCTTCACTTCTATTTTCCGACCTCCTTTTGGACGGAAGAACGAATTTGCTCCCCATATCCCAGAGAAGGAAAGAGCCTCCCAGGGGCTGTGTTCACCCCTCACCGTCTGACCTCAAATAATACTAATGGCACTCCAATCTTGAGCCTTTTCTATGGCCAGGCGCAGGGCTGAGCATTTTGCGGATGTTAAATCACTGTATTCTCACAGGGAGCCTAAAAGGCAGGGATTATAATCTCTTCACTTTACAGGTGAGTAAACGGAAACTAGGAAGGAAAAAAGGAGCAGCCCGGATTGAAATCTAGGTCTGAATGCTCCAAAGCCACCTCTTAATCACTAACGTGGGGGGTAGGGAATGTTCCTGTCCTCTATTTTCGGTGACAGGGGTGACCTCCATTTCCCGCCTAATCCTGATCCCGCACATCCCTGAAATGCCACCCCATGGGAGTTAAAAGAGCGGGGAGTGGGGGGGTTGGGAGTCCGCACCAGCCAATTCCTAGGGCTAGGTTAAAGGGGGTTCTCCTCTCTGCCCCAACTTTCCTGACCGTCCCATCCACTCGCCTGTCTTCCCCGGGGCCCAGTTCGGCGCGTCGCCACCACCCACCGGGGGGACCCCCGAGCCGCACCAGCTGCCCGGGAGATGGGAATTTCGCGACGCTCCCTGCCCGCGCCCCGGGGTGGGCGGAGGAGAGCGGCAAGGGGCCATCGCGCAAGTGCGGGCCCAGTCGCTGCCGCAGGCGGCGGGCCTCACACGGGCCGGGAACTCGTGGAGGGGGCGGTGCCGGCCCGTCCGTACTGGACGAGGTCCCGCGTCCCTCTCCTCTGCGCCGCCTGGCCCTAGACGCGCCTCCCCGCTGCCCCGCCCACGTGCGGGTGGGTGGGCGCTTCCCGCGCCCCCTTGACACTTTGCAGACGCTCCCCGGCGCCAGGCATGGGCGCCGCCGTCGGTCCCCCGGCCGGACTCCGCGCGCGGGTGGGTGAGCGCGCGGGGCCCCGTACCCTAGTACCCGGAGCACCGCGGGCGGGGGTGGGGGTGGCCGCGTCCTCGCCCCATGCCTGGCGCCTGCCTCCGCGGGGACCCCTGTCCACCGTCGCTCCCCCTCCCACCCACGGGACAAAGGGCGGGGGCGGGGGGGGGTGCATCCCTACGCGTGACCTTCTCGCGCACCACGCACGCGCCCGGCCCCCCCACGGGGGAGGGGCCCTACTCACCCACGCGAGGGCGGGGGAGGGGCTCGGGGGCCGCAGGTTGGGGAACCACGCGTGGCTGGACCCCCACTCTCTGAGCCCGGAAGTTGGGGCACAGTTTCCCTCCTTGCACCACTCACGGAGGTGGCGCCCAATGAGGGGCCTTACCATTCAGGCCGGGGTATCCCTGCTCTGTAGACCCCCGGGGGATCCAAGAAATTTAGGACCCCAGACCCATCTTCCCTCAACACTTTGTAATTTAAGTCGCCAGCCCATTTCACCCCCAGGACCTAGATGTCCGGATTCCCAGCCCCCTCCTCCCTCAAATTCAGGAGTCTGGACCCTCAGCCTTCTCTTCCTTCAGTCCGAGGAGTCTCCCACCTCCTCCAGTCTCAGACTCAGGAGTCCTGACCCCCAGCCCCTCCTCCCTAAGACCCAAACCCCGGCCTCCCCAGTCGCACTCTCAGGACACCCCCACTCACCTCAAAGGAGTTGGGGCCCCAGGACTCCATCCAGGTCCCTCCACCTCTGGCTGCTGTTTCTGTCCAGGGCCCCTGAGGTGCTCTGCTGCCAGCTGCGCGGTCTGCCGTAACCCCTGCCATGAGTGACAGAAACAGCCAGTGGAGGACAAGTGAGGAGCCGGGGTCCCCTTCCCCACCCTCGGTCTCCACGCATGCCCGCCCGTCCCTGCCGTCTCCCCTCCCCGGGGCTGCTGCGGTTGGGGAGCTTGTCCGAGGGGCCTGGAGACTTGTGTGGGGTGTGACCCCTGGGCCTCTCCTCTGCAGTGAAGACGGACGATGAGGCCTTCGATATCTCCATCCCCTTCGACCAGGCGCCCCACCTAGACTCACAGATCTTTTACAGTCTGAGCCCCTCTCAGGGGAACTTTGAGGGTGAGCGGGGGGTGGGGGCGGGGGTGTGGAGGGACTGCAACCTGCTGGGCTGCTGGCCCCACCCCCCAGAGTCCTGGGGAGTCGCTGGCACCCCCCCTCTTCCCCCGTCCCTAGAGCCACCGGAGGCTGCATCTGCGACCCTGGCCCTAATGAATGGCGTCAAGGCCCAGCTGCACATGGCTCTGGAGAGGAACTCCTGGCTGCAGAAGCGCATCGAGGACCTGGAGGAGGAGAGGGACTTCTTGCGGTGCCAGCTGGACAAGTTCATCTCCTCCGCCCGAATGGATGCAGGTAGGGGGAGCCTCTATGATCCGGTCCCCTGCCCTGCCCCTCCGCTGGGTGCCCAGTTCTTACCTTCTCAGGGACACAGGACCCTTTCCTCCCCAATACTAGAAGCCACACCCTTTGGGGCTTGACACTGTCTGCTAATCTGCTGCCTGTTTCAGAGACCCCTCAATTGCAGCTTCTCTGCCTGTCTGATGTCTAAGTTTTCTTATCCCCGCTTACCGGGGTTCAATTTCCGGCCAATGTACGTCAGGGGCAGCCACCACCTGTCTGTCAGTGGAGGTTTGTGTGTTGCTGTGATGCTGAAGAGGTTTCAGTGGAGCTTCCACATTGAGACAGACTGGAAAGAAAGGCCTGGCAATTTACATCCAAAAATCAGCCATTGAAAACCCTATGGATCACAACTGTTATATCCCATTGTGCATGGGGTCACCATGATTTGGGGGCCAACTTGATGCAGCTAATGACAACTATCCTTCTGCTTTCCCCATCAGTTCCCCAAAGCGCCCTGGCATTTTCTCTCAGGACTATGGGACCTAAGAGTCCAGGCTGCTCTCTCCTCCATTACTCTGGTCCCAACTCCTTAGGGGCACCTCCCTTCATCTCCTTGACCAGGAGGCCCACCCTGGTCCTCCTGGTTTCCTGTGGCGGGGAGGGGCTGCCTCTTCCTCTTAGCCTGGTAAGTCCAAATATCCAGCCTCCTCCTACCCCACCCCATTCCCATTTGGGTCCTCAAGGGACCTGTCTCCCCATACACTCTGTCTGCTAAAAAACACCAATTATCGTCCAGTCGATTTCGACTTGTGGTGATCCCACAAGTGTCGGAATAGAACTGCACTTCATAGGGTTTTCAGTGGCTGATGTTTTGGAAGTAGATCGCCAGGACTTTCTTAAGAGGTGCCTCTAGGTGGACTCAAACCTTCAACCTTTCAGTTAGCAGCAAGCACGTTAACTGTTTGCACTACCCAGGGACTCCCTCTGTACACTACCTTGGCTTTTCAGAGCTTCTTCCCTGTCAAAGGCCCTAAGCCTTTTCATGGTGGATTCAACTCTTTTCCCTAGCAGGTTGCTGGGGGATTTCTTGGGGGGATCTCAGCATGTTGTCCCCCAAACCCTACCCACTTTCTAAGTGTCCCTAGCACACCCCCTTTTCCCTGATCTGTTATAATTCATGACCAGTAGCAGCCCTTGGAAGGACCCTTGGTGGTGTAAAGGTTAAACGCTCGGCTGCTAACTGGAAGGTTCGAAGCCACTCAGTGGCTCTGGGGGAGAAAGACCTGGCAATCTGCTCCAGTAAAGATTACCACTTTGGAAACCCTATGGGGCAGTTCTACTTTGTTCTATAGGGTTGTTATGAGTTGGAATTGACTCAGGGGCACACAACTACTACTACAACAGTGTCAACAACAGCAACCCTTAAGGGAGTCTTGGTGGTGCAAAGATTAAGCGCTCAGCTGCTAACTGAAAGGTTGGTGGTTTGAATCCACCTAGTGGCTAGGAGGGAGAAAGACCTGGCAATCTGTTCCAGTAAAGATTACAGACAAGAAAACTGTATAGGACAGTTCTGCTCTGTCATATGGGGTTGCTATGAGTCGGAATCTACTTGAAGGCACCCAACAACAACCACCCTTGGAGCTCCAACCCCCTTCCCTGCCTGATATTCAGGCTGTCCCCAAGGCTGAGCTGGTTTGAGCATTTCTTCTTATTGGCTGGGTCCTGTGCCATACTTGTTATATGTTTGAAGGCCACTCGTCTGCTTCCCACATGGCCAGAACTTCCTTCTGCCAAATCTTTAGCCCACGTTTTGGTAAATCAGCCTCTAAATACCTACCCTCTCCCTCATGTTCAGCCCCAGCGAGGTGTCTTGCAAGACTCTTCTAAAGTCCCCACATCCCTGTTACTCCAACCTGTTTCCCCAAAAGCATGGGCTAGAGGCATGTGGTTTTTAGCATCTGCACTATTGGGGACCCCGGTGTCTGGGAATCCAGTCGTCCTTCTGCTCCGGACCACCTCTAGCTGGGGACAACAGGTACTTTAGCTTTTGCCCCATGCTGATGGAGACTGGCAAGGTCCTGGTTTCGTCTTGGTCAGTTCAAGCTCCTTCCCCTGATGCTTCATGCCAGGAGTTCCTAGGCTTCCTTAATAGGAACCCCAGCAACAGATCTCCCTGCCCAGACCTGCCCTTGTTAGGGTCCCTGCAGAGACACTGGTGGAGTGGTGGCCTTGCCCAGCAGGCCACACCCAGAGGCTTGTGGTCTCTCTCAGCACTTGCCCCCCACTCCCACACCCCAGGCTTGCCTCCACTGACGGGCTGGCCACCAGCGTTAAGAGCCTGCAGGCCCCTGAAAACAGCTTCCACCCATGACCCCATCCCCCAAATCCCAGTTCATGCAGGGGTCACGGTAGGGGCCTTGGTGTCTGTAGTGTATCCTAGCCCTTGTTGGGGACCCAGTTTTGGGCAGCCCAGCCTCTCCTCTGCCTGGACCCCTGGCCTCCAGGGATCCACCCAGGCCTCAGGAGCTGTTGAGAGGATGCCTGGACCCCACCCTGCCAACCTGCCTTTCTGGCCCCTCTGTTCACGTGTGTGCATCTCTCATCTTTCCAGAGGACCACTGCCGGGTGAAGCCTGGGCCCCGGAGAGTTGAGGTGGACAGCCGGGGTGGGGTCGAGGCCTCCGACCCGGAGTCAGGGGCGTCCTCGCTCAGCGGAGGGTCTGAAGAAGGCAGCTCCAGTGAGAGGAAGAAACAGAAGCAGAAGGGAGGCACTGGACGGAGGCGCTTTGGCAAGCCCAAGGCTCGAGAGAGGCAACGGGGTGAGTAGGGGGGCGGGGGTGCAAGTATGTGTGTGTGCAGGTATGAGTGTGTATAAGACTGTATGTGAATGTATGTATATATGTGAGAGTGCATGTATGTGTGTATATGTGAGTGTATGCACGTGAGTGTGTATATTAGAATTAGTGTGTATGTGATAGTATGAGTGTATGTATGTGTACGAGTGCGTATGTGTGCATGTGACTGTGTATGTATATGTACGAATCTATGTGACTGTATGTTTGCATGAGTATGGGAATATATTGATGTGTATGTGTACGCGTGAGAATGTGTGTGTGTATATGAGAGCACGTACGAGTGTACGTGTATATGTGAGACTTTATCTTAGCAAGTATGTGTGTGTGGAGGGGTTTGGCATGCCAGGTAAGCAGGGATTTGCCCTGTGGCCTTTGCAGAGGCTGTCCCTTTTCTCCACCCAGGCCTCAGTTTCCCTATCTGTGGCGGGTCTGGGCTCTACATCCTTTAATTCTGGTTTGCTGCACCAGCAGGGTGACTGTGGGCACACTCCTTAACCTTCCTTAGCCTCAGTTTCCTCATGGGTAAAACGGGGGTAATACTAGTAGCTCCCTTGGAGGGCGGGTGAACTCACAGGAAGCCCTCAGGGCAGCACCTGTTGTGCCTGAGCATCTACTGTTATGTGTCATTACTGAGCTGACATCCTGCCTTGGGGCAGGATCTTTGGGGAGGACAAGGGGGCAACAGTTGGAAAAAGGGCGGATGATCTGGGGTTAAGAGACGGTGTGGGGAGGAAGTAACATTTACTGACTCCACCTGAGATGTCTGACTCATAGGTTTAATCAGAATCTGTTTCATCCCTTTTTCATCCTTGTCTCTGGGGCCGTCCGTCTTCTATTTTCCGCTGGTCCATCTTCTCTTTGTCTGTTTCCCCATCTCCTCTCACTCTGTTGCCTTTTTCTCTCCTGCTTCCCATTTTGTTCACCCGTCTTCTTCTGGTTTGGGGCTCATCTCTGTCTCCATTTCCTTTCCTCTAAGTGTGCCTCTCACCCCATCTCTTTGTCCCATGCCTCTCTGTCCATCCCTCATGCCTGTCTGTCCCCCACATCTATCTGTCTCTGTTCCCCACGTCTGTGTCTCTTTCTATCCCTCACACCTGTTTCTCTCCCCCACGCCTGTCTGTACTCCACACCTGTATCTGCCCCCCATGTCTGTCTCTTTCTCTCTGTTCTCCACCCCACCCCACCCTGCAGTTAAGGACGCAGATGGCGTCCTCTGCCGCTACAAGAAGATCCTGGGCACCTTCCAGAAGCTGAAGAGCATGTCTCGGGCCTTTGAGCACCACTGCGTTGATCGCAACACAGTGGCACTGACCACGCCCATTGCTGAGCTGCTCATTGTGGCACCGGAGAAGCTGGCTGAAGTGGGCGAGTTTGACCCCTCCAAGGAACGCCTCCTTGAATACTCCCGCCGCTGCTTCCTGGCCCTGGACGAGGAGACACTCAAGAAGGTGCAGGCCCTCAAGAAGAGCAAGCTGCTGCTGCCCATCACCTACCGTTTCAAGCGGTGACCGTGTGACGCAGGGACACGCCCGCTGCCCACCTGCTGGCCCTTTACCCACTGGTCCTCCAGACCTTGCCCTCCTTAGTCCTCCCTGGCCCCAGGGGTGCGTGCATGAGTGGGACCTTCCTGGCCCCTGGGACTGCGTGTGTGAGTGGGACTCTGTCCAGCCTCTCGGGGTGCATATGCGTGAGTGGGACCCTCCCCAGGAGCACGTGTGCATGAGTGGGTGTTCCTTACCGGGTCTCGATGGGACCACGTGTGACCCTTCTCCTCCTCCTGCAGAGCCCCACTCCCACACCCAGGCCGCCTATATACAGATCTGTCCCCGTTGCCTCCGACATTCCTAGCATCCTCCTCTTCCCTGGGACTGTGAGGTGGGGGGGCTCACTTAGTCGGGCTTTCAAGAGCTACTGCCCAGGGCCTGTTTCTGCCCTTTCCTGAACACGGGCATCTTCCTCCAACAAGAAAACCCTTCCACTTGAGCTGCACCCGCCCTGCCCTCCCTGGGCCTCCGTCCTCCTGGAAAACGGAGCTGGCTGCGTGCCGCCCTCTCTTGCTGGGCAGGAGAGACTGTAGAGACCCGTCTCTACCCCCAGCCACCCGGACAGGCTGCCCCAACCCGGCCTCGGCCTCCACTGCCGGGGGCTTCCCACGCCCGTTCTGGGGCCGCCCCATCCCACGTGCCAGAGAGAATTATGCAGAGAATTTAAATTAAAGAGAAGATTTGGAATAAACCATGCCCCAGCCTCTTGCTCGGAGGGGGACGTGGTCGGGAGGGGGTAGCTGTTGCCACAGAGACGGTGATAGGGGCACTGGGGGTTCCAGGGAGCGGGCGGTCAGGCGGGAAACGGCGAAATGGGGGAAGACGGTGTAATTAGCCCCCTGCAGGCAGAGGTGGGATGGGGAGAAGCAGCTGTGACCCGAGGAACAAAGGGGCAGATCCCCGGAAAAAAGGCGTGAACACTGCCCCTGGGTTATGTGGGTTGGAGGCGCGGCGGTAGCCGGCGAGACTCCGCGACTGGTAGCCTAGGAGGCTACCTGTGGGACCAGGTAATCTCGGAGAGGATGCTTCCGCCGGCCCGCCAGGGGGCGATAGTGCCAGATCATCGGCCTCCCGGAAGTGCGTGTTTCGCTGCTTCTTGCGCCTGCACGGCAGGAGAGCGAACGAGCCCGCTGATGCGGTTGCTAGGACAACCAAGAGGGGGGTGGACATTCTTAACGGCTGGGGATTATGTATCTTCACGATACGAAGGGAAAATCCCGCGCACGCGCGCATAGAATTCTGGCACCGTGCCCCTTCCGGGGAAGTGAGAAACCTCGCCTCAGACAGATTTCTACACAGGCGCAGAATCTCATCTCGCGCCCCTCCGCTTCCGCCCTGCGCAGGCGCACAAAGCCGCGCTGGCAACCTCCGCAGCGGCCGCGCGCACTCTTCATCACGCTGGCTGCTTTTGTTTCGCACAATCTTCTTCGGCCTTCCGCGAGATCCGTCCTTCTTTTTCTCCGCTCTCCTCATCCGGAGAGCCTGGTGCCCGGAGCCGGGACCCCGCCCCTTATCGCATCCCTTCCTTGACCCACCTAGCCACCGTCCTCCCACTCTTCGCCTTCCGAAGCCGGAAGGACCCGAAGCGCCAACGGAAAAAGTCGAAGCAATTCCCTGTGAGTGAGACTTTCCCGAAGTGGTGACGGAAGGAGCCGAAGTTCTGTTAGGGGAGGAGTGAGCGAGTGGAATCTCCGGAAAGAGCCGAAGCTTGGAATTGACCTGAAATCTCTGGAGAGGCCAGAGGGCTAGTCCCGGGAAACTTCCAGGACGGTTAGGCTTGTCGGAAATCGCCGATTGCTTCGAAAGGGCTGGCGGAGAAGAGCAGAAAGAATCTGTGAAAGAAACCAACGCTTGGGGACGGTTTGAATTGTCGGAAGAAGCCAAACCGTTAGAGGGGGCTCGGCGCAGAGGAACGCGAGGACCTGCGGAAACAGCCGAACGTTGAGGAACCAATCTCCAAAAAATTACGAGAACCTGGGGAGCGGACGAAATCCTCTTTTCGGGTGTTTCCGGAAAAGCCGAAGCCACCCGGCCCCAGGCGGAGCAAGGCCCTGGTGGGAAGGGACAGCGTGAGAGCGGGCGGGCGGGCGGGCGAGGGGGCGGGGCGAGGGGGCGGAACCTGGGGCGGGGCACCGCGGGCTTGCTTAGGTAGGAGGCGGTGAAGCGCCGGCGGTGGCCGGAAGTAGCCGAAGCAAGCGGCGGAAGTAGCCGAAGCGGCCGGAGCGGGCGAGCGGCAAGGCGAGGCGAGAGCTGCACAGGGCCCTGCGCGGCCGCCTCAGCATGTCGGACTTCGACGAGTTCGAGCGGCAGCTCAACGAGAATAAACAAGGTGAGTGCCCTGGGGGCGTGGGGCGGCAGTCGGGGCGGCCTTTAGCTTTCCTTTTCGCCCCCCGCCATTTTCTCCCTGTCTTCCCCCCCTCGTCTCAGTGCTGCGCGGCGCCATCACCCACTCTCCCCCCTCGTTCCGCGGCGCGCGCCCGGCCCACGTGACCCCTCCCGGCGTTCCGCCGCGCGCGGTGCTCGGGGAAGAGCGCGGCGGAGTGCGGGCCCGTGACGCATGCGCACCGTTGCTTCGGTCCCAGGGCTCCACGTGGTCCCCGTCGGAGGCGACGCGGGGCACTAGGGCGCAACCCCGCTCATTATCCCGCCGCCCTTTTTTCCCCCCCCCCATGAAGGAGATTAGATTGAGTCCCGTAATCCCTGTTTTTTCTCCCGCTGTCTGGCACTTCCGCTTCCGGTCGTGCTCACGGCCCTGTCTCCACGCCCCCTGCGTTTCCAAAATGGCGGTTGTGAGGTTTTTTTTTTCCCCCCATTTTTTCCTTCACGTGGACGACGGCACAGCCACGGCTTCTCGGGCCCTATGTGCTGGCAATCTTGGGGGCGCGTGGAGGCCGCGGGCCTCTCCCGCGCCTGTTGTGCGCGGTTTTCTGGGAGTCACCGCGTTGGGCTGTTGATGCCACGCCACTCGTCGTGGGGCGCCTCGGTTGAACGTGCTTCACGCCTGCCTTTTCGTCAAAGAGGAGGAAAGGCTAACCTACTTTCTAAGTCTGAATATTTTTTACGCGTATCTATCTTATGTGCACGAGGGTTTGGGCAGTCCCGACTATCGCAGTATGGGATATTTGCTCTCCCATCTCTCCCCAACTTGAGACAGACTCCAAATCCTGGCCTGTCTCAGACTTGGGGTACCTAGAGTCAGCTGCGTAAATTGTTTCAACGTAGAGATAAGGAAACTGAGGCCTTGTGGGTGTAATGGGGACTTGGCCCAGTGGGATGCTGGCCGAGAGGTTCGGGGGTAGGTATCTCCCAGGTGGTGATGAGGGTTGGTGCCGAGCATCGATGATCGTGGTTGGTCAGCACAGCACGCGACCACCTCATCTGCCTAGGGACTGCAAGAATGCTAGGCCCAGAAGAGTAGTTTTGTTTTGTTTGTTTGGTTTGTCTTGTCTTTGTTTTATTTTGTGAGTGAAAAAGCTGAGGCCTAGGGAAAGTGTAGGCGACGTGGGTGTCTTGGTGCTTGAGACTTAAGTTGCCCCTGTTCGTAGTTGGAATTCCTTTTCTCGTGCCCCTGTTCTTTGGAGGAGTGATTGGGAGGGTTGGGCATTCTCACTTGAGTCCAGGCTAGACTTGGATGGGGGGTGGCTGAATTAGGAGACAGGGCTGGGGAAGAAGTAAAGTTAGTTAAGTGCCCACGGGATGTGTAATTGCTTATATGTCTGATTCTGTATTTATTTAACATACTGGTTGTGAGCGTAGACTTTGGAGTTGATCATCCTGGGGTTTTCAAATAGCTACTTTGTTGTTTAGTAGTTGTGCAGCTTTAATATAACTGCAGCTTGACTTTATTTCTAGATAGGCTGTTTTTCTGTCATTAGATTAAATTTCTTGGCTGCTAACCAAATGGTCAGGGTTTGAACCCACCAGCCACTCTGGGGGAAAGATGAGGTAGTCTTCTTTTATAAAGATGTACAGTCTGCTGTAAAGATGGGTGGTTCTAGTTTGTCTTACAGTGTTGTTATGAGTTGGAATTGACTTGACGTTAGTGGGGGTTTTTGTTTTTTTGATTTTTTGGGTTGAGGGAATAAATAAGGATGATAGTAATATAATTGTAGTTAAACACTTGAGTGCTTGCTATTTATCAGATTAAGTTCTTTGCATGGTTTTTCTAAGTAGGTCCTTACAAGAGGCCTGCGAGGTGGAAGTTATTTTTTTCTGACAGGGAAAGCTGAGGCACAGAGAACTTAAACATTTTTCTTAGATCTCAGCTGGTCAGAGGCAGAGCTAGGATTAAGTGGGGTAACATGTGAAGCATGTGGCATGTGCCCAAGAAGTGATACTGGTTATTGTGAAATCATCCCCAGGACTTCGGCTCATGCAGGGAATGTCAGAGTTGGGAAGGACAGGGAAAGGCGCTTTCTGGACACTGTTCTGTTAAGTCTTCACAGCAGTTGGATGGGATAGAGGAAGAGAAGGAGTCTCAGGGTGAAGTCACTTGTGAGTGGCTTTTTAGGGCTGATGAGCAGAAAAGCAGACACTGGCTCTCAGCTCGGCCGGCTGCACAGCCTGTGTTGGTTCCCCCTGATTGAGCTATTCCTTGAGACTCTTGCAGATGTGCTGCTTGGATTCCCTGGGGTATCCTTATTGGGGCCGAGAGGCCAGCCCCTCAGACCTGGCTCTTCCCCCAGCTTGGTAGAGCTGCCACCACACCAGCACTACGCAGAGCATTTTGGGCAAAGGAAGCTCCTTTTCTATTCTGAAAGGGCTCTGCCCATCAGTGGTCCTGCATGGAGGTTTTTGTTTCTGCCACCAAGCTAAGTCTCTAGGTTTAAGCTCCTACTTTGTGCACCTGTGTCTCTCCAGGGAATTAAGTTTGTCATCTGTATCTCAGGCGCCCAGCAGGCGGCACTGCTTTTTCTGTGGGTGTCCCGCTGTCTGTCTGGTTCAGAGCTTTTGAAGCAGGAAAGGCTCTGGGGGCTTCCAGCCTGCCCGTTTAACTAGTGTGGAGGCTGTGGTCCCAGAGCTGCAGGCTGGAATGCCCCTCAGTGCCCAGGACCATGCTTGTGTGCTTGACATGCTGCTGACCGGCCCCCTCATTCCCCCTTCTAATTCCAGGCTTTGATTTTTTTACGGGGTAGTGGCCTCCAAGGAGGTCACCTGCTGGTTGGGGCCAGACTCTGGAATGTTCTGCCTGACCAGGGTCAGGGAGTATGGCGTGGTGCTTAACCACACTTGCTGAGCTTACAAGGCTCAAATAATTCAGGCCTCACCATTTCCCTGCTGTCTGGTTTTGGGCAAGTCATGTGGCCACTGTGCCTCAGTTTCCTGATCCGTGACAGAAGTCCAACCGTGTTTTTCCGAAGTGGAAGTGAGGTGTCAGTACAAGCAGAACCGTGTAGCACAGATCCTGGTTTCAGGAAGTATCTTGACGATGCTTACTGTTTTCTTTTCTAAGGTGTGTGTTGTTTCTGAGTTTTAGTGATTCTGAAACTGAGATGTTTTTGCAGAGAACTGATTTTTAATTGCGTCAGAAAAATGTGCGAGATGAGACGTGATGAGTGAGGCTGAAGTGCACTTTGACATTCTTTTCATGGCCTTTTCCTCCTCATACCTCCAGAAATTGCCATTCTCAGGAGAGATACATGTTAAAGCTTACCTATGTGCTCACGCGGGCCTCTCTGTGTGTGTCTGGGCAGCGGTTTAGAAATCCCTGGTGTCTTTAAACCAAGGAGATTGAATCCAGTGGTGCTCCTGAGCCGCCTCCTTCTGATCTAGTGCAGTGGCAGGGAGTCTGGAGCTCTGGCTGCCTCTCTTCTGGGCTCCCAGCCCCGTGGCTCCTGCAGTTCTCCTCCATGCAAAGCCTTACTCTCCTCTGGGATCAACTGTGAGGGTGGTCAGCCTCTACCTTGAAGGGCCCATCTTCCTTTCTAGAAGGTGAAGGGTCCACTGGGAGCAGAGGTTTCTGTGACTTTGGTAGCAAGGTGGGCTCTGCTGCTGCCACTACCTCTCTTGTCTTCGTCTTCTGGGGGATCCTCTGACAAGCCACCCGTAGGAGGCAGGCAGGGGTGGGGAGGCCTCTCGTGAAGAGGTCTGTGCCTCCTCCTGAGCCGTGGGAGACATGGCCCCCAGCACTTCCCGTCCTCGGGCTCAGCTGTGAGAGTGTGGCTGGGAGGAGATTGGTTGTGTGGGGTTTGTGGGTGGGCATTGGGCCCCCGTATGCTCTTCTCTTCTCTTCCTCCTGCAGATTCTGAAAGAAGAGCCTTGGGGGAGGAGACTGACTCCTGTATTGTTCACCTGGCTGGGAAGGGACAGGCTTAAGTTTCCCTGCTTCCTGGGGTATCAGATCTGGCCTGGCACCCAACCACTAGACCCGACTGACTGATGGTGCTGAGGGTGCCAGCTGGCTGCCGAGGTCTCTCCTGAGGGGTCACAGGGTGCCTTCAGGAAAACGTTATTGGGTCTCTGATTCCCCAATTCCTAGCCCTGCTTCTCTCAGGGACGCCCCTGGCGTCAGGTCCTCACCCTCCAGGGGACCAGGAGCCAGCTTCCTTTGCCTTCTCTCTGCCAGAGGAGCACCCTCAGGTATCTCACACCCCAGGTGCTTCCAGGCCACTGTGGACCAGGAAGCCTGCGTATTTCCCTCTTCCACTGGAACTTGTCCCCTGGGGTGGTCTTCTGGGACATGAAAGCGTCAGTGCAGGCTTGTGGGGGTGGCTTGGCCTCAGCACCTCCTCCTCCCCTCCTCTCCCAGAGCGGGACAAGGAGAACCGGCATCGGAAGCGCAGCCACAGCCGCTCGAGAAGCCGTGACCGCAAGCGCCGGAGCCGGAGCCGTGACCGCCGCAACCGGGACCAGCGGAGTGCCTCCCGGGACCGGCGACGGCGAAGGTAACAGGGCGTGGGGGGTGGCTGAGGCAGCCCTTGGTATCGGGGATGGGGGACAGACCTCTGGGGCAGCTGTTCTTTCTTTTATGTTTATCTGGGGAGGCATTTGCTGCTGTTTGTCTTCAGCTCAGTTTTCTTCCCTGTGTTTTTCTTCCAGCTTCTTGGTCGGGGGTGCTGGTGGGTTTTTGAGGGTAGTAGGCTCTTTATGTTAGAGAGGAGCTTGGAGACAAGGAGGGGTTTTGTTTCTTCTGTGTGAGGGCTGCTCTGTCCTTGTCTCTTCCCGACACCCCTTTTGTGGTTCTCTGTGTGGGACTATCTTCGAGAGGGCTGGTTTGATGTCCCCCCTTCGTTCCCGAGGTGGGCAGTCTTTCCAGTTGGGCCTGCTCTCTAGCTGGGGGTTGGTTTTCTGTTGCTCTAATGTTGCTTTTTTTCTTAGTTTCTCTGTTCTGTTCTCACTGTTTGTCTTAGGTGGGGAAGGGTGGAGTTCTTCTCTCTTTGCCTTCCATTTCAGTTTTTCTGACTAGAAAGTAGTCTGTCCTTGTTCTTTCTCTTGTCCTCACGTGTTTTTGGGGGTGGGAGTGTTACGGTGGGGATGGCAGGGTCAAGGGGGGCCTGCTTGCTGCTTGCTCGCCTTGGCCCTGCCCTCACCCTGGGGCTGAGTGTTCTTGGGGGTGTGGTGTGTGGGGAAGACGAGGTCCCCAGTCACCCTTCCCCACACCTTTCCCTCCCACCCCCAGCAAACCTTTGACCAGAGGCGCTAAAGAGGAGCACGGTGGATTGATGTGAGCTTCTCTTACCTGTCCCTTCCACCCTGATGCCCCCACTTCACTTTCTCACCCCTGCTGCTCTGTCGTGCCCCATCCTGCCCTATCCTAGAACACTGGGGAGGACCTCACCTACCTGGAGTCTGGCACTCCCAACTCCCCAGGCCCAGCCCTGACCCATTCTCTCCTCTTGGAGAGAGCTGAGCTGACCACAGCGGGGGAGCCGAGGAGAAGCCTGAGGACACACAGGCTTGCTTTGGTCAGACTGAGGGTGCCCCACCCCGCTCTCCCCTCCCCCTCCCCAGTCGTTCCCCCCGCCATGAGAAGAAGAAGAAGGTTCGCAAATACTGGGACGTGCCTCCCCCCGGCTTCGAGCACATCACCCCCATGCAGTACAAGGCCATGCAAGGTAGGTCTCCCGGGAGCAGGCCGTCTTGACAGTAGAGGGGTCTGACAAAGGAAGAGACCGAAGTGGTTGCTTAAGGAGGCCAAAGAATGAGACTTCCAGTCTTGGGGGAGATGAGGTCGAAACTCTTGGTGTTCCTACCTCGACCCTGTGGGAAGCCCTCATTGGAGAAGGGGATGAGACCCCACAGCTGAGCGGGGCGGTGCCTTTGTCTGAATCTCAGGGGAAATATGGCAGCATTGGTCGCTGCTGGCTGGGGCAGGGTGCTGGCTGCTGGGGGCCATGCTAAAGGCCGTGTTAGGGAGGGTGTTATCGGTTGGGAGAAGCTGCCCTTCCTGAGCTGGGTCTAGGGGAGCTTTAAATAGAGGAAGGGAGTTTTTAGAGCATGTAGGGATGGTCCTGAGCTAGGGCCGTAGGGTGCCCTGATCTGGTTTAATGCTGTTTCACTCTCTTCAAGCTGCGGGTCAGATTCCGGCCACTGCTCTCCTACCCACCATGACCCCTGATGGCCTGGCTGTGACCCCGACACCGGTGCCCGTGGTCGGCAGCCAGATGACCAGACAGGCCCGGCGCCTCTACGTGGGCAATATCCCCTTTGGCATCACTGAGGTACTGCCCTCCCCCTGGCCCTCCCCTCTCCCTGACTCCCCCACCCCATCCTCCCGCCCTGGATTCCCTTCTCCCAACCTGCACGGGTCAGACTCTGCTCCTGCAAGACCCCCCGGCCCCCCTCCCAGACGGACCGATGGAGTTGAGCCAGCCAGGGGCCGGGCTGGGGGTGGCCCTCTCCCTCCTTCCTCTTCCCCCTCTCCCATCTGCCCTCCCCCAACCTACTCCAGCTGCCCAGGGCTCAAGCATACACATAAGGTGCCCACCCACTGGAGAGAGACAGAGAGGGAGACGCAGACACAGCGCACACAGACACAGACGCACGCTGCCCTCCGTGTTTCTCTGACACGCCTCTCCTTCTCTGCCGCCTGTCCCCATCCTCTCCCACACCCTCCCGTGGTCGCTGCTCTGTGATTTTTGATCGCCCCGACCTCCTCCCTTCCCCCGTCTCCTTCCCCCTCCCCTCTCCCCTCCCCTTCCTATGGCATCCCCCCGAGAATCCCGAGATCAAAGAGTTGTTTCCATTTCTCTTTAAAGTGAAATATTGTGGGGCTGAGATCCCTCGTAGCAACAAAAAGTTTGCTACCATCGTCGAAGGCAAGTAAGGTCCATTCTGACTTTCTCAACCTGCACTTTGCTACATTTGATAAACCAGCCCCCGGACTCCAGGGCCAGATCCCTCCACATCACTCTTCTCTCCTCCCCTCCCACCCCACCCTCCTCTCCCACCTCCTTGCCTGCTCTGGTCTCCTCTCTCGTCTGTTTCTCTCTGGGTGTTGTCCTTGTCTGCCATCTCTTCCTCTCCGATCCTGGTTCTCTCGATTCCTGCCTGATTGTCTTTTCTTTCCTGCTGTCTGTCTCCATCTGTCTTTCTGTGTTTCTCAGGTATTTTTTCTCTTGTGTGTTTTCTCTCTTCTTTTGTTTATGTGCTTTATGTCTGTTTTGTTTCTGTTCTTAATGCCATTCTTTTTTTCTGTCTTTTCTTGATACTGTCTTTCTTCGTCCCCTGGATTGTGGGGCAACTGGTTCTTCCCTCATCTCTTTTCTCGTTTTTTCCATCTGCCCCCCTCCTGGCCCCTTGCTGTGTCTGGCCGCTGTGTCCTCCTTATTTCTCATTTCCCTCTTGCTTTTGTTTCTACTATTTATCTCCCTACCTCTCCCCACCATACTCCACTTGCTCCCCTCCCTTCCCCACTCCTCTCCCCTTGCCCCCACACCCCTCTGTGTCTCCCTCTCTCACCCTTCCCCTCCTCTCTCCACCTCCCCTCCCCGCCCCGCCCCTGTCTCCTCTTCCCTCTGCAGGAGGCCATGATGGACTTCTTCAACGCCCAGATGCGCCTTGGGGGGCTGACTCAAGCTCCTGGCAACCCGGTCTTAGCTGTGCAGATCAACCAGGACAAGAATTTTGCCTTTTTGGAGGTGAGCCAGGCACATGAAGGGTGCCACGTGAGGCACCCCTTGAGTGGGCTGGGCCTCCCTGGCTGCTGTGTCCCTGACCCCAGCTCTATCACTGGCTTCCGTCTCCACATGGCTCCCTGTGACCCATTCTACACCTTGTCGCCAGAGTGAGCCCTTTGAGGCGCAGATTGGGTTTGCTCTCCCTTGCTCTCTGGGGGCTTGCTCGGCTTTTGCTGACCTTTACAGCCCCTTCCCGGTTGCTCTACCTCAGGTCTCTATGCTCTGGCCACACTGGCCTTCCTGGGACACACCCTACCTGTGCCAGCCAGAGCAGGGTCAGCCACTTTCCTTTGTCCGTCAAACTGGAAAAGGACTGTGGTGGTTTTTAGTTTTCTGTTCTATGTGGATTTACACTTTTATGAGGTAATGTCAGTGAGCTGTAGAAGTTCCTAAACACTTATGTCCCTTTCTGTGCTTCTCATTGTTGTCCGGTGGCAGTGGGTGAGCCACACTTTGAGGAGCCCTGCTGTGGATTTCAACTTAAATGCAAGTTTATGAGAAAAGCCTTACTGAATGCTATCTCCCCATTTCAGTGAGCCACCTTTTGTTTTGCTGTTTCAGCATTTTGTCCCTTTGTAGTGTTTGTCGTAGTTTATTGTTGTCACGAAAGTATGGACTTTTAAGACAAGGATTGTGGCTGCTTGGTTGTCCCAGAGTCCCACACGAGGACTGCCATAAAGGCCCTGCTCATTAAACATCCACCTGAGTGAAAGAAAGAGGAAATCTTGCTCTCAGACGCCCCAGGGAGTAAGGGTGGCCTGCCTGGCCTCTGGTCCCATGCCACTCACCATTTATCTTTCTCTTTCAGTTCCGCTCAGTGGACGAGACCACCCAGGCCATGGCCTTTGACGGCATCATCTTCCAGGGCCAGTCACTGAAGATCCGCAGACCTCATGACTACCAGCCACTGCCGGGCATGTCGGAGAATCCCTCCGTCTATGTGCCTGGTGAGTGGGGATGCGCATGCAGGCCCCTGTGCCCCTCGGCCCTGTCTCCGTAGCTCACCTTTCCCATTTCCAGCTCAGAGCTCCCTAGAAAGCAGTGCTTCTGAAGAGCTTTGTGAGCTGGAGGCTTTCCCCACTTTGCATACGTGGCACCAGGGGCCTAGAATGGCAGGGCTGGGGATAGGTTGGAGGTGTTACGGGAGGTAAGGCAGCTGGCATTCGGGGTCATGCACCCTCTGTGAGGCATTCAGCATCTTGCACCCGCTGTAAGGCTTTCTGGCTCTGGGACCTTGGGCAGGTGGTGTGATCTCTTTGGGCCTCAGTCTCCTCGGGTTGGGGGAAGGGTCAGTGCATTACTTTGAGCACACACGAGTGTGTGTGAGCCTGCATATGTGCGAGCGTGAAGTCAGCAGAGCTCCCGGCTTGGGGTCTGGCATGTGAACAATCACGGGTTTGCCTTCCTGCGTTTCCCTAGAATCCTGTGCTGTGGGCCCATTCCCCACAGGCCTCATTGGTGGATTGTACACTTGATGGGTGGGCACACTGTTGCCTGAGGGGCCAGGTAGTACGTATTTTCATCTTTATGGTCTCCGTCAAGAATGCCGTGCTCTTGAAAGTGCTCTGCTGTTGAAAACAGCCAGAGACAGTAGTCAGTGTGTCGGCCTGGCTGTGTGCTGCCAGTACAGACTTTATGAGTGCTGACCTTTGAACGTTGTTTAATTCCCACATGCCATGCAACAGTCCTTCTTGATAGATGTTAAAACTATTCTCGGGCGGCCATAGCACAGGACACGTGACCCAGGGCTCCAGACAGAGGCTGGGTGAGCGCTAGTGTGCTCTGGGTGTTGTGGTGGAGCCAGCCAAGTCCCTTGGAGCTTGGAGAATGTGGGGTTCTGCTGGCTGAAGCTTACCCCTGAAGGACCCTTTAGAGATGGAGTCAGCCCTTGACAAGGTGGAGGGCATCAAGACCCAGAGAGAGCAACACCTTGGTGCTCAGTTCAGGACTCAGGGCTTGGTCCTCTGACTTTCTGCATCATAATATTTTGGAAATTTATTGTACTTTAAAAAAAAAATGGAGGTATAGTGGATGTTAACATGTTCTAATTTAGGCATTTTGCTTGATGGATTTCTACACGTGTATGTATTTGTCTGTTTGTCAGATCAAGTTATGGAATATCATTTTGTGTATTTTCTCAGTATGCTTAAGTCGTCTATATCTTCATGAGTAACCTACTTGCTTGTTACGTGCTTACTTTATGTCAGGTACTGTTCTAAGTGCAATATATGAATTATTTTTTAATTTTCTTAGCAATTATATAGTATAAGGGTCAGCCAGTTTCCACCCAGGGACTAAATCTGGCCAACCGCCTGTTTTTGTAAATGAAGTTTTTTTTGGCACACAGCCATGCCCATTTGTCACAGGCTGCTTTCACGCCATAGTGGCCAACCTGAGTAGTTGTGATAGAGACTGTAGCTGAAAATATTTACTATCTGACTCTTTGCAGGAAAAGTTGGCTGAGTTCTGCTATAGTAAATACTGTGATTCTGTCTCGCAGTGGAGGAAACTGAGGTGTAATGAGTAACTTGTTCAAGGTCACTAGGTAGAATTAGTAGCCACTGTCCCGAGCTTGTAGTTTGACCCCAGAGCCCATGCTGAGCCATTCCCAGCACTGCCTCCTGCACGTCTACCTTTCTCCTGGTGGGAATGGAGCATGGCAGATGCTTTTGACTGTCTTCCCTTCGTCACAGGCTCTTTTTCAGAGAGAGATCCTTGCTTTGATTAAACAGTAAAGAAGTCATTCGTTCCTCTTTTCTCTCTGCGATCTGTCTGCCAAGAGGTCTGGCGTCCAGTGCGGCCTTGACTGGGTGGGTGAATTTGGTTCCGGGGGTCAGGGCTTATAGGACGTGTAATTTTGGCTGGAGATTAAACATTTACATACCCGTAGTAAAACTGGTGTTTCGATTCCCCCCCACCCCCGAAAAAAAGTGTTTGATAAAATTGAAGACATTCTTGATTGAAAAAAAAAACCAACTAGGGAAACTGGAAGGAAACTTTCTTGCCTTGATAAAAATGCACTGACTTGTAACTAAACAAACATCTTGTTCAGGGGTGAGATGTGAAATGCATTGCTTCTGAAGTTGGGAAAAAGATGAGGCTGCCACAGCCAAGCTCGGCTATTCAGTGTTGCCACAGGCTTCCAGTAGGTACTTCTGAGACAAGAAAGAGAGGAGATGGAGCCGAGGAGCAGGAAGAACCAGGGCTGTGTTTTTGGGCAAGAGGGCACTGTTGTTGGGTGCCATCAAGTCAGTTCTAATGGTGACCCTGAATGACAGAGTAGAACTGCACAGAGGTCCCCCCCCAATATTGTGTTTTTGGTGAAGGTTTACACAGCAATTTAGGTTCTCATTGAACAGTTTCTACACAGGTTGTTCATTGACGTTGATTATGTTTTTCACGGTTTGTGAACATTCTCATTATTTCCGTTCTGGTTGTTTGTTTCCATTAATCTAGTTTCGCTGCTGCGTTATGTTCTTTTCTTTGTTTTAAAGTAATTTTTGATTTTTTGGTCTCATGGGCGATTTTTTTAAAGGAGCATGATATTTAACGGTGATACTCGTTGGTCTTTGAACCAGTTTGTTATTTAGCTACCCATAGGGTTTTCTTGGCTGTAATTTTTAGGGGAGCAGATTGCCACGCCAGGTCTTTCTCCCTCAGAGCTGCTGATGGGTTCAAACTGCTGATTTTTCAGTTAGCAGCCAAACTCTTAACAGTTGTGCCACCAGAGCTCCTTTAAGAGGGCACTGCAGTCTGTGAATCAATCTGCAAGTTCACTTTCTCCCTGGGTGCCTGTCATGTGCCAGGCACAGCAGTCAAGTTCAGGGATGGGCCCAGTTTGATGGGACCAGGCCTGGGGTTAGGGGCCAGCGCACGGCAGCACATGGGACAGTGAGGTGACACCTTGGGAGCATGAGAAAAGACTGCTAGGTTTTGGGTACCTGGGGGAGAGCACTTCAGAGGGGTTGGTCCTGCAGAACGTGCACCAGGCAGCCAGTGCAGGGAAGAGCCTTTAAGAGGACAGATGTATGAAGCAGGGGGAGCCCAGCGGCCTGGTAAAGTGGGGGATGCCAGCTGTGTCAAACAGTGAGGTGTTCCAGGTTGATCCCAGGTATCAGGGTCAAGCTGCCATGTGGAGGGGGGGGGGTGGTATCTCCCCATCCTGCAGATGAGGAAGAAGCTTCAGAAAGGTCAGGATGGGAGCTCTGCCCTGTCTGGCTCTATCGTCCGTCTCTGCACGCAGGATGCCATATGGTTGGGCAGTGACTTGTGCTGTTAGATGCTGGGCTCTCCACAGTTGCTGTGGCACCCATGTCCCCATTTGGCTCTTGGAGCAACTCTCCTATAAGCAGGGCTTACTCTCTTCGTTGATTACCAAGGAACCTGAGCCTGAGAGGAGGTTCTGTTAAAATCGTTACCATGTAACAGTGGCCACCATTGCTGACTTCCTGTCCCTTAGTGCACGTGGAGGGCAGTGTGCCCGTCTTGAGGCCCTGGGTTAGTGAGTGCCTGACCTGAACCATTGCCCCTCGAAGCCCTCACAGAGAATGCTAGCATTCTTCTCCTCTGCAGATGAGACCAGGCCCAGGGGAGTCTCATGGCGTCAGGCCAGTCCTCAAACCCAGGTTCTGCCGTGTGCTCTCAGCCACCTTGCTGCCCCACTGAAGGTACAGCCCAGCTTTCAGGAATGAGGATTTGCCTCCCAGCTCTGCCCTTGCATACTCAGGGCTCAGACATGACAGAGGTCCATTCTCTGAGCCTCAGGCCAGCTGGACAGGGACAGTCCTCACGACAACCTTTAGTCTGTCAGAGCTGCTTGTGTAGCCATGGCGCCTTCATTGTGGGCTCTTAAAGCCCCTTCCTTTGTGATCTTACCCAGTCCTTAATTTCTGTGCTTCAGTTTACTCATTTTCATACTGTAGGTAGGGTCTTGGAGAGAGTGAATTAACAGATTGAGTTTGACAAGGCCTTGCCTGCGGTCCGTGTCTGGCATAAGTCCCCTGTCCCATTAGGCGTCTGCCCAGTAGCTCTTCGTTGAGCCTGGCCTCCCCTGTGGTTTGCACATTCCCACAGCCCACTCCAATGTGGCTTCGCTTGGGACTGTTGATGTCAGTAGGGCTGGAGGGGCTGGTGGTAGGAAGGGGCACACTGGGGTTGACTCGATGGTGGGGGAGGGAGGGATAGTCCTTTTCCCTCGTGGGCACAGTGCTTGGTTCTGAAGCTGGTCTTGTCCCACCTTAGCTGTTCCTGACTGAGGCTCAGGACAGAGGTGGTGGTGGGGCCACCCACCTGTGCAGCTGTGGTGGCGGAGGCAGGGCAGACTGTAGCAGGAGGCAGGACCAGATGGGTTGGGGTCCACTGGAACCCAGCCCAGGGTGGTGCAGACCATGTGCGGGGCTTGTATACTTCACACCTGGCTGGATGGCTCCCAGAATTAAGCACACTTGGCGATGCCTGTGGGGTAGCAGGTTAGGCAACCTGGCAGGCGTCTGTGTGCGTGCGTGCATGGATGTGTGCATGTGAGAGAGAGGGGCTGGAGTGCAGCGAGTGCTAGGTTTGGACCAGAGCGTGGGTGGTTGCGCCCTCATTCAGCCTTGTATGACTGGCAGTGCCAGCTGCTGCTGGGCTCCGGTGAGCGAGATGGCGCATCCTGGCTCTCGGGGGGCCTGTTTTCTACACAGAGAGTGCTGACAATGAACACAGCCTACCAAAATCAGTGAAGCAGCTAACACATACGATAACACAGCTCACATGAGGGTACTGTTTGAGTCTCCTTGAGCAGTGCCAGGCTCACCTTCAGGAGAGCTTTCTGAGGGAGGGTCTTCTGATGTCACAGATGACCAAGGCCCAGAGAGCACCTAGTTGTGGCTTTCTGCGTCATCAGTATAGGGCCATAAAGGAAAAGGACTGAGTTTTAGCAAGAAGGCTTAATTTGAGTTGGGGGTCATCAGGAAAGGGCTCTCGGGGCTGAGGCCTGAAGGATGAAGAAGAGGTGTGTGTGTGTCCTTGTGACTCTTTGCCAGTAGGATGAGAAAAGCAAGTCTAGAGCCAGAGTGACCTGCCAAGGTCACCCAGCAGCTTGGCAAGTGGCAGGCACAGGGTGTCAACTTGGGATGGTGTGTCCTTGGGGTGGGGCCTGTTTCAGCCAGGCTGCCCCATGTGGGCCACCAGGCGCTCTGAGGGGTGCTGCTGGTCTGAGGTTTCCAGGCAGCACCTCCTTTGCCACTGAGAGTCAGTGCATCTCTTGCCAACATCTCAGGGGTCGTTTGTCGTGTGACATCTTTTGGCTCCTGGTTAGACTTGAGGGTATGGACAGACATGTGTTGTTGCTCCGCCTCGTGCTAGGTGTGATTGCCTGGTGCTGGATCACCAGGGCCGTCAACGGCTTTCAGTACATGGAGGCAGCAGTCTCTCTCTCTGGATTCTCCCCGCTTGTGGGTGCTGGGGATTAAGTCTGCCCCTTCTCTCCCCTCAGGAGTTGTGTCCACTGTGGTCCCCGACTCTGCTCACAAGCTCTTTATTGGGGGCTTACCAAACTACCTGAATGATGACCAGGTGAGCCCCTCTCCTCCTTTTTGATTCCGTTGCCCCACCCCTGCTCGTGCCCTGATGGCCGTCACTTCTGCGTCCTGCTGCAGGTGAAGGAGCTGCTGACCTCGTTTGGGCCTCTCAAGGCCTTCAACCTGGTCAAAGACAGTGCCACGGGGCTCTCTAAGGGCTATGCCTTCTGTGAGTACGTGGACATCAACGTCACGGACCAGGTGAGTCCCAGGTGCCTGCTCTATGCTGCTGTCAAAGCTGAGCTCCTCTCTTGTGGGAAGGGTGGGGGAAGCCACCTGGAGGTGGGTCCCTGGATTGGGGAAGCTGCTGAATGAGCCAAGGGCTCAGCAGGGGCATGACCACTCATGTGCTGGCCTAAACCCAACCCTCATGTGTCCCTTCCCCTGGCTCTTCCCAAGCTCTTAAACCCGTGTCTACCATTTTCCCCACCAGTGCCCTGTGTTCTGGGGTATTGGGGCTTGCGGGGGAAGGTGTTGGGACTGGCCCCTGACTACCCCTGTCCTCTGCCCACCCCCCTTCACACAGGCCATTGCAGGGCTGAATGGGATGCAGCTGGGGGACAAGAAACTGCTCGTCCAGCGGGCGAGTGTGGGCGCCAAGAATGCCACGCTGGTGAGCCTCCCGGCACGTCATCTTCCATTGGCTAGAGGGACCCCTTGGGGCAGGCTGGGCTAGGGGGCGCAGTGTGGGAGGTGGGGCGCAGGATCTCCAGTGGCGCGGGTGTTCCCCCCGCACGGGTGTCTGCAAGGGTGCAGGGTGAGTGGAGGGAGAGCTGGGCCAGGCCTTTAGAGAGGGAGGCTGGTTGGGGGGTGTGGTGGGCCCCCTGTGACGCCTGCCTCCCCCTACAGAGCACGATCAACCAAACGCCGGTGACCCTGCAAGTGCCAGGGCTCATGAGCTCCCAGGTGCAGATGGGCGGCCACCCGACTGAGGTGCTGTGCCTCATGAACATGGTGCTGCCCGAGGAGCTGCTGGATGACGAGGAGTACGAGGAGATCGTGGAGGATGTGCGCGACGAGTGCAGCAAGTATGGGCTCGTCAAGTCCATTGAGATCCCCCGACCCGTGGATGGCGTTGAGGTGCCTGGCTGTGGAAAGGTCAGTGCATCCAGGGGGTTGGCATGCATGTCCTCGTGTGTGCACGTCCCCGTTGCTCTGTGTGTGTGTGTCCCCATATGTGTGTGCATGTCCCCACGTGTGTATCTGTGGGTATACCTCATGAGCATGTGTTCCTGTGTATGCACATCCCTGTGTGCGTGTCCTCGTTTGTGCATGCATCCCCGGTGTGCGTGTGTCCCTGTGTTTCACACAACACACACACACACCCCACCATCACCACTTAGTGTTCCCTCTGGGCATGGCTCCAGGGAGATTTTGGGGAGCCGAGAGGTATGGCCCACTGGGGTCCCCTTGGTGGACAGCCATGCTGGCAAGTAGCTGGGTGTGCCATGTTATGGCCATGAACTTGGGCCCTGTATAGAAGTCATCTTGGTGTAGAACCTGGCTCTATTGCTGCTGCTTTATGTGACCTTGTGCAAGTGACGCTTTTCTGAACCCTGGGTGCGTTGTCTGTGAGGTGGGAAGAAACTGTTAGAAACCTCACAACAGCAGCAGGAAATCCACTGGTGTCCACTCTGCTGGTTTCCCTGCCTGAGCTGTGCATATGTGACTGTTGAGTCCTCACAGCAGCTCCCTGATCTGTCTGGGGGTGCTGTCAGTCCCCTCTACAGGAGGAGGTGTGGGTACACAGAGGTCACAGGCCACACAGGCAGGGGCGGAGCCTCGGAGTCCCATTGTCTTGGCGCTGTGCACCCGTGGAGGAGGAGGGTGGACAGCAGTCTCTCTCGCCTACTTTCTCGCCCCCTTTTTACTGGGTGTGGCATAAATGGCCGGAGGGCTCTTGTCAGGGCTGCTCCAGGTTGTGGTTTGGCGTCTAGAATGGAGCCTGGCTCAAAGTAGGGGCTGAGTGTGCACTAGTGGGAAGCAGGAAAGGAAGAACCCTGACCTGTTTTATTTAAATACAATTTGTTTTTTGTTGTTGAGAGTATGTATAGTAGAACATATTCCAAGTCAACAATTTTAACATGTACAATTCAGTGATGCTGATTACTTTCGTAGAGTTGTGCAGCATTCTCATCCTCTTCCGAGTTGTTCTTCCTTCATTAATGTAAACTTGCTGCTTGGTAAGTTTCCTATCTTTGAAGTTGTTGTCAATTTGATCCCATATAGTTTTTTTTTATTTTAGCTTTTTCTTCCTGCATCCATTGGTGTTGCACTTCCAGTTATTTTGTAAATTTATTTTCATTGTGTAGAATACACACAGCAAAACATATACCAATTCAGCCGTTTCTACACTTACAATTTAGTGACTTTGATTACATTCTTTGGGTTGTGCAACCATTCTCATCTTCCTTTTCTGAGTTGTTCTCCCCCATTGACACAAACTCACTGTTCTCTAAGGTTCCTATCTAATTTTTCGAGTTGCTCCTGTCAGTTTGATCCCATACAGGTAGTTCTTAAAAGAGCATAACGCTCAAGGCAGACCTTTTTAATTAGTTAAGCTAAACTATTGTTCGGTTTTAAGTTGATTTTAGGGGATAATTTTGGTTTAAGGTTGAAAGTTTACCTCAGGGCGATAGTTTCAGGGATTCATCCACCCTCCATGGCTCCAGAAAGTCTAGAGTCCATGAGAATTTGACATTCTATTCTACATTTTCCCCCTCTTGATCAGGATTCATCTATGGAATCTTTGGTCTAAATGATGGTAGCTGGGTGCCATCCAGTTCTTCTGGTCTTGTGGCAGAGGAGGCAGTTAGCCACAAATCATTTATTCCTCTTGTTCTGACTTTTTTTCTTCCTTTGTTGCTCCAATTGAATAGAGACTAATTGTTGTGCTTTTGATGGCTACTTGCAAGCTTTTAAGACCACAGGCACTATGCAGTGAGCTAGGAGGTAGAACAGAAGCACCAAGCACATTCTTATAGACCAAAACTGCGATGTCCCTAAACCTCCAAACCAAGGAACCAAATCCCTTGAGGTGGTTGGTTGGACATAAGCAGCCTCAGCAGCTTTTTTTTCCCTTGTCATTGTAAATACATCTATGACACAGTGGTTGCCAGTTTAACTTTTTACATTTGTACAACTTACTTGACAAAAACTACATTAATTGACTGTGTAACTAACCCTACCCCTAAATCAGTGTGCTTTTTCTATCTCTAAACTGAAACTCAGTGCTTTGTAAGCAGTAACCTCCCCCTCGCCCCTGCTGTTTCGAAATTTTTTATTGTGGATCTTTTCAAACATGCATAAAAGCAGAGAAAATACTACAGTACTGTTCCTGCCATTACCTGAAATAGGTTAATTTCTCAACTAGTGACATTTTAGGCCAGCTCACTCTCTGTGGTGGGACCATCCTGTGCATTTCAGGACGGTAAGCAGTGTGCCTGGTTTCTGCCCAGTAGAAGCCAGTAGCAACCCTGCCCCCATTTGTGACTGCCCAGTGTTCCCTCCTGGGGGACCGTCAGTTGAGAACCACTGCTTTTTTAATGAAATCATGACACCATTTATTTGAACAAAATTAACATCAGTTCTTTAGTATCTATCCACTCCATGTTCATTTACCTCAGAAGTGTCTTTTTACAGCCCATTTGTTTCTGCAAAGATCCAAGCAAGGACCCCATCTTGTACTTGGTTAGAGTTTCTCCTAATTTCTACCAGTTCTACCTCCCCCACCCCCCACCCCCTTTTTTAAAATATATTTTTGGTCAAGCTATTTTATTTGTTGAGGAAATGGGGTCATTTGTCCTATAGAACATATCCATGCTCTGGATTAAGCTCATTGTATCGGCAGCCCCCTTGGTTTCCTGTAAACTGGTGTTAGAAGCTTGAGTAGATCAAGGCGGTTCAGTTTTTTAGCCTGGCTTTGTCTCTCAGCTCTTCCACTCTAGTTGTGAAGGTTATTGTTCCTAATTTCTGAGTGTCCCTTCCTCCATCTGTCATTTGGGGAGAACCTGGCCCTGGGGGTGACTTGAGGAGTGCCGCCCAGTGTCTGCAGAGTAGACAGTCAACGCAAGTTGCTCTTTGCCTCTGGGGGCTGGTGTGTCCCCTGTGTGGCTGTTCTGATGCCTCTGCTGTCTGCTCTCCTTTGATCCGGGGGGCTCTGAATGAACTTGGAGTAAACACCCCACACCTGCACCAAGAGCTCCTCTCCAGGGCCTGCGTGAGGCCCTCCTTCCCACTGAGCCCTCCGCCCTCCGCCCTCCGCCCTGAGTGCCAGGTTTGGGTTCTTGCTGGCAGGTTGTTGGGAGTGTGCCCGCCTGTCCGTCTCGTCTTCACACCTGTCTCTCGTTTCTGCAGATCTTTGTGGAGTTCACCTCCGTGTTCGACTGCCAGAAAGCCATGCAGGGCCTGACGGGCCGCAAGTTCGCCAACAGAGTGGTTGTCACAAAATACTGTGACCCCGACTCTTACCACCGCCGGGACTTCTGGTAGAGGCGGCCGGGGGAAGGCGGGGGCAGGGCTTGTGGGGGACTTCTCCCCTCCCGCCCCCTTCTTTTCCCCTTCTGAAGACGATGGGCAGAGGAGTGACAGCCGAGTGACAGCCGGCAGCAACTGGAATGGAAGCGATTGGGGTGGGGTGGGGGCGGGGGGATGGGGAAGTGTACACACGTGCCCAGTGCCCACAGACATATGCGCCCACAGAAACAGAGGGCAGGATCGGGATGGGGACAGGCGCACACAGGGTGGGTTAGGACCCCCATGCCCCTCCCCACACAGCCTCTCTTCCTCCCTTGTACCTTCCTCTCCTCTTCCCCATAGTAGGAACATAGCGTGTTTATATTTTATGGCCAAACTTTTGAATTTTGTTGTCCGGTCCCCAGTCCCTAGCTCCTTTCCCTGTCCAGGACCACAGCTCCTGTTCTCTTGGCCTCTGGCCCTTTCTGGTCCCTCCCTTGGTTTCTTACGTAGTTGATCCTCTTTTAGTCTTCACCGGAACTGCTCCCAACCTGTGGCCCCTGTCCCCCTCCTACTCTCTGTGGCAGTTTCATATTTGCTAAGACGAATTTGCTCATTAAACATTTTGTTGTATTTTACTTTACGGAACTGCTCTGTGTCTGGTCTGTCTAACCCTTTTCAGGTGGTTCCTCTTGGCAAACTGCGGGGTGCTTGCCCGGGACTCCTGCGGGGAGGAGGGGAAAGCTGTCCCAGATCCATAGCCCCTAGCCCATAACCTCCTTTTCCCCAGGGAAAACCTTACCTTGGCCCCTTCTCCGGGTCTGGCATAGTGTGCATCGGAGAGGAGTGAGCATGCGGCGACTGGCCCTGGGCCCGCGAGGGGCAGTGAGTGGCCTCGGGAGGTTGGGTCACCCCTAATTGCACCCGGCGGCGGGGCGTGGTTGTGGGGCTAGGGCGAGCTGGGGCCCACGCGCGGCGCACGCGTCCCCCCAACTCTCGACATCTGGTTGAGCTTGCCCGGCGCCCGTCACTGCGTCGCCCGCTAGGCGGAGTGCCCCGCCTAGCTGCAGCGGCGGCGAACGGAAGTGAGGTCAGCTGCTCCTAGCGACAAGCGCGAGAGGCGCGCGGCGGAAGTGGGGCTCGTACACGGGTAGCGGCGACTGCGCAAGCGCATCGCTGGCGGGGCACACGATCACTTCCGCTTCCGGTCCGTCTCCTTCTTCGGTTGCTTCCCTTCTGCTTAGCGGCGCCCCTCCCCCGCCCGGCTCTCCGCGCCCCCTCCCGGGCGCCGGGGCGGCGGGGCGGTTGGCGTGCGGTCCCCGGAGCGTCCGCGCGTGCGCCCGAGCGCGCCTTCGCCTCCGCGGCCCGCTGCGCGCCCCGCAACACCAAGGCCGAGCGGGGGCAGGGGGCTGACCGCCATGACCCCCCGGAGTCCAGCGTGAGGGGCAGAGGTGAGCGCGGACTAGGGGCGCGGGACCAGCGCGGGGGGCAGCGGGCGCCGAGGCCCTGGCCTAGGCGGCGGCACGCAGACCTCGCCGGGCCTCGGGACAGGCTGGCTGCCCCTCCTTGGCACTGGTCGTGTCTGCCGCCTTTGTGTCTCCACGTCCGGGTCCCTGTGTCTGTCTGTCTCTCTTGGGCTGGCCTGACCCCCCCCCTTCAGTCTGTCACCGTTCCTCTCTCTTGCCGGCCTCTCCCCATGCCTCAGTGCTGGTTGGTCTCCGTATTGGGTTTGGTGTTCTCGCCGTCACTGTCTGTCTGTCTGTCATATCTCTGTATGACTGCCGGTATTTTTTTTTTTCCCGAGGTTTCTATGACTTCAGCTCCCCAGGTGTCTCCAGCTCTCTTCTAGAGCCCCTTGTCTCTAGTGCATCTCTTCTTCTTCCGGTCTTCACTTCTCACTTTTGCCCGCTGTACCACAACCTCCAGTCCCAAAGTCTCCCTCCAGGATTCTAGCTAGGGTCTGCCCCTTCACCTTACTCCCTAGTTTCCTGAGGCTGGAACGTGGTGGTTAATTTCCCCGGCTTCGGAATCCGAGGCCCCACTGCTTGCTAGTTGATGGTATTTTGGCAGGTGATTTCTCTTACCCCTTAACCTCAGTTTCCTAGTCTTTAAAATGGGGGTAACAGTAACTCCCACATCATAGGGTCCCTGTGCATATTAATTGAGGCGGTGTTTGTGAAGCACGTAGCACAGTGTCTGGCAGGTAGAAAGTGTATAATTAACTGGGAGCTCATGTAGATGTTGTGTTCCATTTGAATACCTCTTAGTGGTTTTTGTCATATTATTGTATCTCCTTGTAATAGCTCTGATATCTTTCTTTGAATCAGCTTAAATTTGAAAAACCAAGCCTCATTCTAAACAACGTCTAAAATGTTAGCTTTGATGAGCGAGATGTGTGTTTTTCTTAATGCGCTTTAAACAAATACATGCCATTAAGATAACACGTCTTCGCATGCCACCCTTTTGGAAACATTTTTTGTTTTTCCTCTGATAATAATAGCAACCATCATTATTGAGCGCCTCCTATCTGTGGGGCCCGGAGCCAAGCACTTTATGTACCCGTCGTATTTAATCAGCCAGCCTGCCAGGTAGGGATTCTTTCCTTCATTGTGGAGTTGAACAAACTCACCCTTGAGGAGACTGCTCTGCAATAGCTCATGTGCCAGAATTTGGACCTAAATTCCACACTCTTTCCATTATATCACGTTTTTCTTGGGACTTTTCTGTCCCAAGTCACTGCCTCTTTCTGTTCTAGGGCCTCTCTGTCTTTTCTTGTCTCCCTGCCTGCCTCACTCTTACCGTGTTTCTTGTTGTGTCTTTGCCAATCTCACTGTGTCTGTGGGACTCCTTCTCTCTCTCTCTCGCAGTTTCTTTCCTGTCGTCTCCTCGTCTGCCTTTGTCACTTTCTCTGTTAGTCTTCATGTGTCTGGCCTGTGTTGGGCCCTGGCCATCTCTTTTCAACTGTTTACATCTGTCTCCGAGTGCCTGACTCCCTGGCCTGAGTTCAAGGCAGAGGCCAGCCTGTCTCATTCATCCCCATGGCCCCAGGGACTTAGGTTGTGGGGCTCGGCACCTGTCCATCCGTGGCTGCTCAGAGCCTGCTCTGGAACCAGGCTGGTGGGGATGCCTTGTGTGCCCCTGGGCAAGGGAGTTCCCCCTCTGTGTCCTCCCCTGTAAGTGGCTCTGAATTGCGGGCTTGTTGGGAGGATTACTTGAGTTAGTATGTGTAAAGCACTTAGGAAGATGCCTGGCACAAGGTAAGAACCATGTTAGGTGCTTACTGTCATCATCATAAGGAGCAGTGGTGGCGCAGTGATTAAATGCTTGGCTGCTAACTGAAAGGTCAGTGGTTCAAATCCACTAGTTGCTCTGCAGGAGAAGGATGTGGCAGTCTGTTTCCATAAAGATTTATAGCCTTGGAAACCTTACAGGGCAGTTCTAGGCTGTCCTGTAGGGTCGCTGTGAGTCGTAATCAGCTCAATGGCACACAGTAACATTATCATCATCATCATTTGCTTGATTCCTGTCCTTTCGTTCTTGTGGCACTCATTTCAACCCAGGTTAATTTAACATTGTTGTCAGCTGCTGTCAAGTTGGCCCTCGGCTCGTGGTAACCCTGTGCACATGAGATCAGACCGTTATGACCCATAGGGTTTTCATTTGCTCACTTTGGAAGTATATTGCCAGTCTTTTCTTAGTCTTAGTGTGTTCAGCATCACAGCAACTCGCAAGCCTCTGTTGACAGACGGGTGGTAGCTATGCATGAGGTGCATTGGCCAGGAGGTGAACCTGGGTCTCCTGTGTGGAAGGTGAGAATCCTGAACCGCCACTACCCTCTTAATTTAGTGTCAGTTAAGTTAAATGTGAGCAGTATATGTTTTGGAGTCCAAATGGGCCTAGATGTTTGTCCTTATGCTGCCCCGATCCTGGGGTGTGACTGTGGCTAAATTATTTAACTTCCATGAGTCCCATACCCCTCATCTATAGTCTCGACATGTTGTATGCAGCAGTGTTAAATGAGATAACAAATGTGTTAAATGAGATAATGTTCTCTTGGGCTGGCACACAGCTAGGACCCAGTCAGTGGGGCTCTTGTACTCCTTATCTTTCCTCCCTGGGCCTTCAGCATCCCCCACCATTGGGATGCAGGGTTCCCCTGGTGTTCCCCATCCTCTCACTACTTTCGTACTCTCTTCAGTGGTCCACTCTTCTGGGTGTCCTTTTTCTGCCTTGGGTTCCTGTCCCCTCTACCCCCACTGCTCCAGAGGCCTTTCCTACCCTCCTTCCTTCCTTTCCTGCCTTCACCGGCCATTGAATGGCACTTCTGGACTGGCCTCTGTTGGGAAAAACCACGTCCAGACAGTCATGGTCTCTGCCCTCACAGGGCGTAGGAACCGGCCTTAGTTACAGAATCAGACAACTAGGTATAGAGTCACAAGGGTGGCGGAGTCTGCTGACAAGGTTCCAGGAACGGCAACCCCGGTGTTGGGGCGTGGATCTAGCAGGGGAAGTTTAAGTGGAGCCCTGGGCGGGGTGTGTCTGAGTGGGAGTTACCAGGCCTCAGAGAAGGAGAGGAAGAGCCATGGGCAGAATGCATGGTCTGATGACCTTGGCCGACATTTGCGGGGTGCTTTCTCTGCACCAACTGCTTTCAGTTCCCAGGGTCATCGTGGGACATCACATTTTACAGAGGAGAAACTGAGGTGTGGAAGTCCAGTGGCCCACCCAGGGTTGAATGGCTGGTATGTGGCTGCCCCCCAGCCTCTGCTCTCCCAGTGCACATCTGCCTCGCCCATCAAGGGTGCCAAGGCAGAAAGGAGCTGGGCAAGTTTGAGGAACTGAAAGTTGAATGGGGGTGCTTTAAGAGAGAGGTTAATGAGGGACGGAGCCTTCCAGGCCACAGTTAGGGATGTGTCCTCCACCCCCGGGGGCCATGGGGAGCCCAGTCTGTGTTCCAAAGAGCCTCTCCTCTCCTCCTCAGATGCAGTGATCCACCACCCACTGCTGCGGCTTCCCTACTCCATTTGCCCCATCGTCTCTTGACACTCTTGCTGCCAGGCACCATGTCGACCTCGTCGCTGCGGCGCCAGATGAAGAACATCGTCCACAACTACTCGGAGGCGGAGATCAAGGTCCGAGAGGCCACGAGCAATGACCCCTGGGGCCCGTCCAGCTCCCTCATGTCAGAGATCGCCGACCTCACCTACAACGTCGTTGCCTTCTCTGAGATTATGAGCATGATCTGGAAGCGGCTCAACGACCATGGCAAGAACTGGAGGCATGTCTATAAGGTCGGTGGCCCTGGGTCCCCCACTCTGCCACTGCCCCATCAGCAAACCCCCACGTGACACCCCAGTGCTGGGAACTCATGCCTTCCTGGGCTGACAGGTGAACGGTGAGCGGTCAGGTGGGGCGATGGTGAGTGGAGCATGAGTGCCCACCTGGCCCTCTGGCCTGGTCAGTCCCACAGGTTAGATTAGAGTTAGGGGTAGGGTAAGGGCTAGAGTTAGGGTTAGGGTTAGGGCTAAGTCTAGTGTTAGTGTTGGGATTAGGGTTAGGGCTAGTGTCAAGATTTTTGTTAGGGTTATAGTTAGGACTAGGGTTAGGGTTAGTGTCAGTGGTAGGATTAGGGTTAGGAATAGGGGTAGCGGTAGCGCTAGGGTGAGGGTGAGAAATAGGGGTAGTGCTAGGGTTAGGGTGAGGGTTAGGATTAGCGCTTGGGCTGGGGTAGAGTTTGGGTTAGGTGTAGCGCTAGAGATAGGGTGAGGGATGGGGTAGAACTAAGGCTAGGGTGAGGGTTAGGGATTGGGATGGTGCAGTGTTAGGGATGAGGTAGAGCTAAGATCAGGGTTAGGGTGATGGTTAGGGTTAGAGATAAAGGTAGGATTAGGGATGGGGTAGAGCTAGGGTTAATGTTAGGGTGGGGGGTTAGTGTTAGGATAGAGGTAGAGCTAGGATGATGGTTAGAAGTAGCACTTGTGGTATGGTTAGGAATAGAGGGAAGCTAGGATTAGGATTAGGGTAAAGGTTAGGGATAAGAGATGGAGCTAGGATTAGAGTGAGGTGTAGGATTATTGATAGAGGTAGTTTATGATTAGGATGACCTTTAGGATTAGTGCTAGTGGCAGGTTTAGGATCAGGATTTCAAATGTGTTTTTTTAAAACCAAAGTTTTATAATTTGGCGAACTGGAACCATAACCGGAACGGGAATAATTACAGGTCTTAGCCCTTCTGGAAACTTAATCTCCCTCACCCTAACGCTAATCCTAGTCAGGGCTTTGACCTGGTCCTAACTTGTTTTGTCATGGCCAATGAAGTGAAACTGGAAGAGACCCGAAGTTTTTAATGATGAACCTGATGCGCATTACACTAAGGGAGGGATGTCAGACTCTGGAGACTGTGTACTGTTTGCTTCCATTGTTATGGTGCCTGGGGGAAGGCAGGCTACAGACAGAAGTATAGAGCAGAGCTTGGTGGTTGCCAGGAGATAGGGGCATTGATTGCAAAGGGGAAGCATCAAGGGACAACTTCGGGGATGATGGAAATGCTCTGTATCATTTTTTTTGTCCCTCCCCGCTTTTTTTATTGTGAAAATATACACAACCAGGTCTTCACCAATTCAGCAATTTCTACGTATATGATTCAGTGACGTTGATTACATTTTTAATGTTGCTCAGCCATTCTCGCTATCTTTTTCCAGATTATTCCACCACCACTAATGCAGACTCAATGCCCTCTAAGCAAAAACTCCCCCTTTCCCCATCCCTCCCACCCCTGGGAACCACTAATGTTTTGGTTTTGTAAAAATGGCGTGGCAGAGGTGTCTGACCTCTTAACTTCACAAAGGGGAAGGAAAATCAAGATCAGCAGCCCAAGGCTGATTCCTATGACGTGAGAGTCAGAGATACCTCCTCTCTCCAGCCCTTTCTACCAGTTCTAACACTAGCTGTCCTTCCCATGGCACTCTCTACTTCTCTGCTCAGTTCGATAATTAATTGCAACGGCTACGCAGAACTCACAGATGATACTCACGATTATGGGGTTTAGTAGGGAAGTAAACAGGTTACAATTCAGGTTCAAGAATGCTCAGGATACAGTTCTTCCAGAACAGCCTCTTCTCAGCTGTGCCTGTAGGCAGGCCTCTCTCTGGCCCTCAGCCTCTGCCCTTCTCCTGCAAGTGTTACAAAGCTCTTTTAGCTCTGCTTATAAATGCCCTGAGGTACCCAGTAATCCTTCTGCCCCAAGGTGCTCAGCTCTAGCTCTGAGTGGGCAAAGCTAGTTCCACCAAGTGCGCAGAGGCACCCTACTCCACCAGTAAGCCTCCTGCCTGAAGGTGCTCAGCTTTCTTGCTCTGTGGGCTCCTGGCCCACTATGCCGCCATCTCCTGCTGGTCTCCTGCCACTGCTTCCACTCTCTCTTGGTCTCCTGGTTTCAGGAGCTTCTCAGTGCAGGGATCCCAGATCCAAATGATGTGCTCCAGCCCTGATTCTTCTTTCTTGGTGGTGGTGAGATCCTCTCCTCCCGCCTCTGGGATGTTCGTTTTAAACCGAGCAGGATGGCAAAACTGACCAATCCCTTCGTTAGGGCCCCATAGACCTTATTTGCATGGTCCCACCCAATCACTTGGGTGTGAGTTGTAAGACCATGGTGAGCAAGAAAGGCCATATAAAAGTGATCCATCACATCACAAGTTTCTATAGATTTACTGTTCATATAAATGAGATCATACAGTATTTGTCCTTTTATGACTGCTTTCCATTTAGCATGATGTTCTCAAGGCTCATCCATGTTGTGGCATGCATTAAGAGTTCATTTCTCTTTATGGCTGAGCAATATTCCATTGTGTTTAAAGAAAAAAATCTGATCAATAAGTCAATTAATGTTAAAAGATATTGGGTGGAAGAAACTGTTTGAGAACAGGAAGCACCCCTCCAAAGAGATGAGCTCAGCACATTACAGTTTTGATATTCACTTCATCGGCAGAAGGCAGCTTGGATTAGTTTATTAAGGTTTCTTGTCTGCATTCTGTAGGCTAGCTTTGATTTATCTAATTATTAACTCTTTTCCCAGAACTGTCTTTATCACCAGTTTTTAGTTTCTGTGAAGGGTTAAGAGTTAAGTTTAAACAGAACCGAAGTCAGACCACACCCATTGCCATCGAGTCCATCCCAACTCATAGTGACTCTATAGGACAGAGTAGAACTGCCCCATATGGTTTCCTAGGCTGTAATGTTTATGGAAGCAGATCACCAGGCACCTTTCTCTTGTGGAACAGCTGGTGGATTTGAACAACTTACCTTTTGGTTGGCAGCTGAGTGCTTAACCCCTGTGCCACCAGGGCTCTAGGTTAAATGGGGGTGCATTTTCTTTAACAGTTTCTATATACCACATTTTGTTTATGCTTTCATTTGTCATTGGGTACTTGGATTGCTTCCACATTTTGGCTATTGTGAATAATGCCACAGTGAACATTGATGTGCAAGTTTCTGAGTCTCTGCTTTCAACATTTATTTATCTTTTTTTTGCCTTGTATGTGGTGTCCCCACTGTGGGATTCTACCACAATATATTTATTTATGCCTTCTAGCATTGATGGGCATTTGGGTTCTTTCCGGGTCCGCCATCTTTTAACTGCAAGTCCAAAGTCCAGAAAGCTCTGGAAAACGAAAGCTTGTGATAGTTCACCTTGCGGCAAAGCCTGATCTGAGCTGAGGTGAAGCTCTCTGTACAGTCTTCATTCATCCCTGTGAGCACACTAGACTACTCGTCTAGCTCTCCGCGGAAGTTACCTTACGTGTGGTGTACTCGCTACTGTAACTGAAATATCATAAGTGGGTGGCTTTAAAGAACAGAAATTTATTTTCTCACAGTTTATGAGGCTAGAAGTTCAAATTCAGGATGCTGGCTCTAGGGGAATGCTCTCTGTTGGCTCTGGGGAAGATCTTTGTCTTTTGGCTTCCAGTCCTGGGTTCTTTGGCTATCTTCATGTGACATCTGTCTTCCCTGATTGCCCTTGCTTTCTTCTGTGCTCTTTTGTATATCAAAAGAGATTAGTTTAAGACACACCCTGTACTGATGGCTTAGTTAACATAACAAAGAAAACTATTCTTAAATGAGATTATGTTCACAGGTATGTTGTTGTTGTGTGCATTCCAGTTGTTTCCAACTCATAGCTAACTTCTTCATAGCTACTCTATAAGACAGAGTAGAACTGCCTCCATCAGGTTAGGCTGTAATCTTTATGGGGAGCCTTGGTGGTGTAGTGGTTAAGAACTCATCCGCTAATCAAAAGATTGGCAGTTCGAATCCACCAGCTGCTCCTTGCAAACCCGAAAGGGCAGTTCTACTCTGTTCTGTAGGGTCACTATGAGTCGGAGTCGACTTGAGGGCAATGGGTTTAGTTTGTTTTTTTAATCTTTCTATGGAAGCAGATTGCCACATCTTTCTCCTGCAGAGTGGCTGGTGGGTTCAAACTGACAACCTTTTGGTTAGCAGCTGAGTGCTTAACCACTGCAATACCAGGGCTCCTTCTACAGGTGTGAGGGTGAGAATTTAGAACACGTAATTATGGGGGAGGGAGGGGGATAGAATTCAATCCATAACAGCGGTCTTGCTCTTGAAAATGCAGAATTTCAAAGCAAGCTGCCCCCAGAGTCTCGGGTTAAGGACTGGCTTTACCTGCCTCCCAACCTTGGGTGTGAAATCACATCAGTGGCTTTGCTTCTCTCCTTCCTCTAATCGGTCAGCTCCTCTAGGGCAAGTTAAAGATTAACTCTGATTAGGGCTGTAAATATCCTCAGCCCAGCCTCCTGAGGGCCTGGCCAGGTCTAGGTCCTGCTGCCTCCAAAGTTGGAGAGCTGTTGGAACTCTCAGCATTGTGTCCGGAAACTTCATCAAATAAAATGATGGATTCCTCCTTCCGTGTTTTCCTCTTGTCTAGACTTGGGTACCTCGGATGGGATTCTGGGGCTGCATGAAGCCCCTGGAGTCATCTGTGTCTTTTTTCCGAGGACAGTGGCCCTGGCCTTAAGCAGTCTCCAGAGGGGTCTGATTCTTCTCCTTGCCACACATAGCCAGGGCTGGAGCCCAGGCTAGGGAGAGACACAAAGACTACGTGACCCAAGAGTGGGGAATTTTTTTTTTTTTCCCATTTAACATTAACTTTTTGAAAAGGGAATATGTTCTCATGTTATAAAATGCACTAGATACCAAAGGATGCTAATTGAGAAAAAAGGTTCCCTTACCCACCCTCTTGCTCCTGCTGTTCTAAGTGTCTTGTGTATCGTTACTG